CCACCCCCCCGCCCGGCCGATACGCCTATTTGGATGTAACTACTCCTATTTGGATGTAACTACTATGTTACTCCTTTGGGCTACCAAAGCTGAACAATAACGAAAAATCTAGTGAACTTATAATTTTCCACATTTATTATAATATTATTTGGCAATTAATAAACAGTTTCATGATATTCATTTTTCTTATATATCCGTTTGTGTACATATAATCGACTCGAAAATGTAAAACATTACGCTGTAGTGCATGCTGCATATTGTTGATGAATGATTTTACTCTTTGTTTTGTACAAATACCTCTCGTATTTTATACAAAATATGCGTAATGTTTCCACAAAACTGGAGAATGACAGTATACCTGTATCTCACGATGCAAACATACATGGAACAACTGAAGAATAATTTATTGTTCTCAGAAACTTCTGAAATATGGTAGACTTTCCAATGACGTACGGAATTTTTGCCATGATTGTAGCTTATAACACTGAACATTATAGGTGTTTTAGAATTAGTTCAAACTAGATGATAATATCACAAACCCTGAGACTATTTTGCGAAGCTCAGTGTCTTGGGAAACGTATGTTGAAGCATTCGTAGTTCCATGCCATTCTCCGCAAACAATTTCTTCTGAGACAACTTGTCCATATATCTATTTTAGAAAAAACATGGCTATTCATGTGGACGATGAAATACACAGTAGATAAACACTGCTATATCTTACTTGTTAAAAACTGGGCACGTGTCATTAAGAATGGACATGAATATGGACTGCAGTATAATTTTGAGGGGAAAATTGATAGCTGGACGGAATGGATCCGAATACAGGATATAGGAGAAATGGTTATCCTGGAATTGGCTATCAATAGCCACAGAGGTAACATATAGTTTAATCAAAAGTCTCTCTTTACCATAATGTTGGTCTTTTTCGAATTTTTATCAGCGACTGAAAAGGGGAAAAAATCGTATTTTGCTGTTAATACAGCATACAGGCCGAGTCAGTTTCTTCGAAAAATTTCTGGAAAAGTGTTTGCACATTTGCGATATTTTTCTTTCTCTATCATTTTCTGTGTAAATTAAATTATGTTCTACCATGCAGTTTTTGTCTAACCACTTGAAATTTACTGAAAAGCTTATACAATCCTTGTTTAAAGCAGCAGTGTCAATGTCACACGAACAACCACAATTTGTCATGATGAAAAACTTGTCAAAGACATACTCTCTCTGTATGCGGCTTATATCTTTCTGTGCGCGTCCTTACTATTTCGAAAAGTATATACATAACATGTTTACGTAAGGGCATGCAGATAGGTTACTGTATGCTTTAAATAGGTTAATTTCAACGCCACTGGTTTTCTCCTAAGTTTCTTATCTAACTATCTTGGGGAAATGGTTTAAGCATTTTTTATGAATTTGCCTCAAACACCCATATTTTGGGTTTTTCATGGGCAAAGTGGGTATCTCCAAATATTTAAAATGTGATATTTAAATTTATTTTGTGATCATGGAGGAATTTATATATTACGCTGTCGGTTTAGTTTCAATTTTCTGTTAATAATATTGCATGTCCATGACACCATGCAGTAGCTATATATTAACCAATACACATCGTAATTTTGTAATTGTGTGACAAACATCGTAAATGAACTGAGGAAAATTTTCTCCGGAAAGGAATGGTCCATGCACTTGCTGTATATTAAACATGTCAATGATTCATTGTGAGAAACGATACGCAATGCCGTATACGTGTTTATAATTGCTATTCATGTATAAGTCGTTATAAACTGCGCTGATGTTATAAAATGTTTTATTTACGTGGGAAGCGGAGTCGTTACAATTTATAAAGTATTATTTATTGAACGTTCTCTGACTTAATATTTATTTCTACGAACTTTCGGCTCTCAGTCTATAGCCTTCGACGGGTGTATACAAATGATTCTATAAAGGACGCTAAACTTAAGCAGGTGGTATGAAATCTGAGACTATCTATGCTATGTTACAAATGGGCAATATGAATATTTAATTAATTTTGCCCATTTGTAACATAGCATAGATAGTCACAGATTTCATACCACCTACTTAAGTTTAGCGTCCTTTATAGAATCATTTGTATACATTCGTCGAAGGCTATAGACTGATAGCCGAAAGCTCGTACAAATAAATATTAAGTCAGAGAACGTTCAATAAATAATGTTTCAACCTGGCTACGCATCCTCTATTTTTTCAATTTATAAAGTGTCACAATATGTTTTTATAATGTTTTATAGTGTTTTTCTGTTGTTCTCTTTTTTTTTCTCCGTTCTTTGTTGTCTTTTCTAGTCTTGTTGCTTTTGAGTTTCTGCAAAAACATAAACATTTTGCATCCACTGACTAGAGTTGTGATGGGCTCTTCCTCTTATGCTAACAGTCCAGAAGATCTTTATGCATGTGACTGAAAATGTAGACGGATTCATGCAAATCCAGTCAAGAAGCGTCAATGTAGTATACTTTTGAACTCTCGTACCAGCTCGGTTTATTTAGGGTGTTCTCGTGCATGCTACTCGACATCAATGTGTTTTAGTCTTACACTCTTCAGCATATATCAAGTTTGTGTTCACACATTTTTGAAAGGCAAAATCAGAGCTTGTAATTTGTTGATCAGGATTGGGAACAGCGTTCTAAATACTGTTAGCAATAGTGCTCTTCATATTATTAGACTGTCCATACAAGTATAGACAGTTCTTCTTTGGGTGAGTCATATCTATTAGACTCAACGCCGCCGCCGCGAACAACTTTAGGATCTTGATGCTCTCGTCTGTGCCGTATATATTTTTCCCGCTTGAAGTAAGCTTTTGATGACATACAATTTATAAATATTTGACTGCGTGAAATAAACTCTATAGTCTATAGAATGATTGGTGGCAAAGCCTTTAACATGCGCACTTCTAAATTAAGTATAGAAAGCTTCTAAATAAAGTTATTTTACCATTGCACTATTTTCTCCGAACAAATGGGATGGGTTTTGGGATAAAAGGATAAAATGTGGACAAAAGATTAAAATGCGAACGAAAGAATAGCATATGGACAAAAGAATAAAATTTGGATTAAAAAATAAAATGCGGACAAAAAGAATAAAATGCGGACAAATTCATGAAATGCGTAATGCCACGTTTGTTACAAATTCTCCTCGTGAGATTTATTCCTTCGCTGGTTCTCGAATGAGACTGTATACATTCGGTTTTCTCAATTTCTATTTATTCATTTAGCATTCGTTAAATATGACTGAGCTCTGCTATCGGTACTTTCGGTATATTAATTAACACTCTTACAATCTCTATCGCTATCTTCTTACATGCACTCTTGCAATCTAATGTTTTTGACAATCTAACTAATTTCGACTTCTAGCTCTTATATATTTATACTGTTCTACTTTTTATCCTATGGGGAGGTCAATGCGCGACGCACATTGTGCAAAAAGTCCTCTCGCACCTTATATTTTCTTGCACATTTCCTCGCATGGTTGACCACAAAACAACCCACAACGTTTGTAAATTCCATCTTGTTTACTCGCTATATTAAAAACTTCCTCTTTTGCTTTAAAGTTTGTATTTCCTGTTACTTATAGATTAGTAAATGTTTATTTATATTCTATAATTACAAGATTATTGACATGCATGCATGTATGTATAACTGCATGTTATACTGATATATTTTTACTAAATCTATATTCTATATGCTAAATCTAAGCCACTAAATAATGTACAACTGTTTCTTTTGAAAAGTACTGCAAGGGGCCACAAAAGCATAGCTTTAGCATCTCCCAAAGGACTGTGAAAATCTAAATTATTTCACAAATTGGAACCAGTGAAAGGATGCGAAAGTGCGCATTAAATGTCAAACATCAAATGAATCTTTAGTGAAACTTTAATAATTTAAATTTTGATTTTGTAGGTAGTATATGCAAAGCGAGTTTATTACACAAACTGTGATGAGAAAAACAGAAATAGTAGAAAGCAAATGTGGAAACATATTAATCAGTTAGTTATCATAAAAATTCTACGTCGACAAATATATTAGTACTTCAAATTGACGAGCAGGTTGTCACCGAAAATCAAACAATAGCTGATTTGTTCAACGAGACCAAATCTGTCAAACCAGATCACAGAAACTATAATTTTAAATATGAAATTTGATGCTTAACATAAGTTCAATCCGAAAAACATTATAACAATCCAAAAAACATATTGTAACTTATATATATAATATATATATATATATATATATATATATATATATATATATATATATATATATATATATATATATATATATATATATATATATATATATATATATATATATATATATATATATATATATAGGTAGTGAATCGTTACAACTATTCTAACTATTGTCACAAATGTCTTAATTTCAATAGTTCTTTTTCAAGGTTCTTCCTTCCTCAGCCTTTCTTTGTCGTTTATTGTTCGCATTCATTCGTTGTGAAACGTATCACATAGTGTGAAGCAAAATATTGTAAATTGACCAATATTAACAGTCAATAACAAACTTACGACCAATTGATCATGAGATCGTCTTCAGATCTGGCTCGTTCACATGCCGGAATACAGCGATACTTCGGTGGACAGTAACGGGGCTGCATGAGGTAACCTTTATCGTAATTTATTGAAATCGAAGGCCGAGGCTTCTGACGAAGTATAAGGAACCGTCTCCGTTTGTGTAACTGGCGTTTTTTGTATCTGGTTTCACCGGAATTGTTGGTTGAGGTGTAGTTGTTAATTGTTGACGTGACCTGTTGAGGAGCGTATACACAACATAGGCTATGTTTCACCACAACCGTTCATCAGGCCGTTCATCCATCACTTGTTAGGAATTATTTTATTTTCTACGCGAGGTATGGAATCGTTACAACTATTCTAATTATTGTCACAAATATTTTAATTTCAATAGTTCTTTTTCAAAGTTATTTTCCTTCCTCAGCCTTTCTTTGTCGTTTATACTGTTCGTATTCGTTGTTTTGTCTTGCTTCAATTTTTTGTATAGTTCTGTAATAAGGAATCTTACGTACCTCATCTGGCTCATCATATAAATCCAAAATGTTTAATGTTACGTTTTTAAAAAGTTCATCCACATTCGCATCGTCACGACTACAAATGGAGCATGTAAACGTGATCTGGTTGAGAACTAAAGACGTCTATAAGTCAACTGATAATATCCCAGGCAAACTTTTCTACAATGCGAATGATGCCGTGGCGCCTTTTTTAGTATTTATTTTTAATTCTTCACTCAAACATGGAATTTTCTCTGATGATCTTATCTTTCTTGCCAAGCTATATTCGCGTGATAATGAGTGCAATTTATTCATGTGTAATTTTCTCCGCGAGTACTTCGCCTTTCACAGCGCATAATATACATTTGTTAAGAAATGTTTGATTTTTATTCCGTTTTCTACGCGAGGTAGGGAATCGTTTACAATGTTTCTAATTAGTGTCACTATAATGTTAATATTAAAATCGTTCCTTTTCAAAGTTATCTTCTTTCTTCAGCCTCTTTCGTTTTGTTCACTGTTGTTTTTTCTTTGTCGTTGTCTAGTTTCGTTTGAGCTTCAGTAGCTTTTTCATCATTTAAGCTTTATTCAGCGTGCGTCCACTGACGAATTTGGGTTGTGCACGCCCTTTTATATTAACGGTTGAGGGATCTTTGTACACGTGATGTAGCAAGTGGTGTGATTTGCATCCAGCCAATCAACGTTGAGGTTTAAAAGTGTGGGTTGGCGTTGGTAGCTCGTTCCAGCTCTCAAATTCTGTTTATTTAAGGCGTTGTCGCACTTGTCGAGTTGGTTCGCTGTTCAATCGATCATCATTAAAACATGTTCACAACTTAAAATACTTATCAAAATATCATAGTAAAAACTTCAACTTATCTCTATGTGAACCTTACTTTACCTACTAAACTAAATTTACTTACAATTTTATCGAACCAAAATTTTGATGACGTATTGTTATCATTACTCAACCGCGCGAAATATACCTAAGAATGATTGACAGAAAGGCCCTAAGCATGCACATTTTCATGTCAGAGAAGAACCAGCCTTGAACTTTGAATTATGTAAACACAACGGGCCACCATGCAAGGTTATCGTCCATCTTCGACAAATTGACGAGTTATCTATCTTGCTTAATGGACAGATAATTGACATTTTTACGCAAGTCCGAAATGAGATATACTTTATCTGTTTATTTTTTGTCAAAAATGCTCATTATCTCTCCATTCGACGTAACTAGTATTTTATAGTTACCTGGGGTGCAAATTGAACTATTTTTATACTATTTTTAATACTTTCGTTACAACCCTTCCCGCCTGGATTAAGCTGCCCTCAGCTTTTGAGATATATATAAAAAATGACTATATATTGTTCATATTTTTTTTAAGCTCGGCGTGGCTTAACACGGGCATATTACCAAATGCCTAATAACTGAGTCCATACATATAGCACGTGTTAAATGACTAATTATATAATAATTATTATACTTATGCCTAAATGCACCTCAGGGGTAATCTACAATAATATATTTTAGCTATTACACACGTGAGAATAAAGTAAGTCGCACCAAAATGAATGTGAAAACAAAGCACAAAATTGTTTGTTTTCCTGAAAGTATATGTACCAGAGACTAAAACAAATGATTTTGTCGATTCAATCAAAACGTCTGCCAAAACTGATTTAATTTTCATAAAATAACTTACTTTTGCAACAGCGAAAATTTTATCCAAATTCTTGGTTGATAAACTGTAGCTACATAACAGGAGATTATTATAAAGCTCTTCCGACATAATATCTCTCTATAATAATAATCTAAAACTGAATATTTACTTTAAATATTCCTTAATATACTTCTTAATAAACATCTTAAACTTCAAAATTTTCAAATACATGCAACAACATTTTTATACTTCTTATATAATACTCAAACTTTTTGAATTTAACAAACGTCATGCGTAGCGTATCGAACTCCAAAATGTAGGTTTTCATCCAACAAAAGTGTATCGAATCTACATAGAGAAAACAAGAATGTACCTAATATTTAAGCTTTTGGCTTGAAAAGACTTTGACTGTCCCAGGGAGAGAGAAAAAGTAATATATAGTAATATACGAACAAAGTAATTGAAACACATAAAAATGATTAGTTAATACTTTTTTTTTAAATCTGACCCAACTAATTGCATGCATGCGCTAACCTACGGCAACATGTTTACGCGTGTTGAGTTATACTTAAGATATTTTGGTTGACATACATATTCTTACGAGTCTGGCTAATAATAAGGAAAAAATACAAAAATCGCATGCAATTTTAGTCGAAAAACTAGTAATATATCATAATGCAAATAATAAAATATATATACAAAACTTAAGGGTGTCCAATTTCCAGTCTGACTCAGTATTCATGTCCGTCTTTATCGTGAGGTCACAGTTAACAATATCTGCATCATGTTCATACTTTTAACCACGTGGGTTTCCAGACGGTATCCTTCTTTACGAGACACATATTATCACTTGGATTGTATAGCTGAGAATTGTGGTAACGGCATTCCCGACATTGTAACATTCGGCTGGAAAGTAAACTTGATTTGAAAAGTGATCATCTGCCTGAACGATGGTTCCAGAAACTGCGGCTACAAGTTTATAATAATGACGAACAACAACGCCAAAAAACATTGACAATTCATCAGGCCGTTCCTCCACCAGTTGTTAATAAATCTATATTTTATTTCCTTTTTCTACGTGAGGTAGGGAATCGTTTACAATGTTTCTAATTAGTGTCACTATAATGTTAATATTAAAATCGTTCCTTTTCAAAGTTATCTTCTTTCTTCAGCCTCTTTCGTTTGTTCACTGTTCGTTTTTTCTTGTCGTTGTTTAGTTTCGTTTGAGCTTTGAGGTTAGTTTCATCATTTAAGCTTTATTCAGCGTGCGTCCACTGACGAATTTGGGTTGTGCACGCCCTTTTATATTAACGGTTGAGGGATCTTTGTACACGTGATGTAGCAAGTGGTGTGATTTGCATCCAGCCAATCAACGTTGAGGTTTAAAAGTGTGGGTTGGCGTTGGTAGCTCGTTCCAGCTCTCAAATTCTGTTTATTTAAGGCGTTGTCGCACTTGTCGAGTTGGTTCGCTGTTCAATCGATCATCATTAAAATATGTTCACAACTTAAAATACTTATCAAAATATCATAGTAAAAACTTCAACTTATCTCTATGTGAACCTTACTTTACCTACTAAACTAAATTTACTTACAATATTATCGAACCAAAATTTTGCTGACGTAATGTTATCATTACTCAACCGTGCGAAATATACCTAAGAATGATTGACAGAAAGGCCCTAAGCATGCACATTTTCATGTCAGAGAAGAACCATGCAGCCTTGGACTTTGAATTATGTAAACACAACGGGCCGCCATGCAAGGTTATCGTCCATCTTTGACAAATTGACGAGTTATCTATCTTGCCTAATGGACAGATAATTGACATTTTTACGCAAGTCCGAAATGAGATATACTTTATCTGTTTATTTTTTTGTCAAAAATGCTCATTATTTCTCCATTCGACGTAACCAGTATTTTATAGTTACCTGGGGTGCAAATTGAACTATTTTTATACTATTTTTAATACTTTCGTAACACATTGTTTGAAAGCTTATGACTTCCGCTATCGATTAATGACTGGTTCCCATATATGCGTGCCATGTTTCAATTGACTAACAGGAAATATTTTATTTTTTTATATTCACCTTTTAGAAATATGTTTTTATTATAATTGTTATGTTTATTATTATTAATTGAATAATGAACTGTTTTTGTAACCAGAAGGTTAAATTACAGAAGTTCTTAATACTATATCCTAGCTAGACAACAACATAGCGCGTTATTTAAATTCACCTTATATATATATATATATATATATATATATATATATATATATATATATATATATATATATATATATATATATATATATATATATATATATATATATATATATATATTTGGAAAATACATAAAAACTATAAAAAATGTCAGCACAACTATGAAATTTTGTTTTAAAATATATAATGTATTCTCGAACATGTTCAATTCAAATGAAGTCGAAGAGTACACTAAAACAAGTCATGAATAACATTGAATCCCTGATGGCCATTTTGAAATGTATAATTGATCAGATTCACATACCTTTATAAATTATTATTTGTGGGAAATAAGGAATCAGCCGCAACAATGGTCTGCTGGAGACCTTTCCCCAACTGACCGGATATTTTTCCTTCGACAACTGTTCCAGTTCCTGGCAAATGGGCATCACCATCATCATATTTCATGCACACTACACTTTTTGATCTAACATTCAGAGACTATTGTGACGTAAAATGAGATAGTTATGTGTGTAAAATTCAGTATTTCTGTATGCGGCGTTTCGTCCTTTCTGGACTCGTCAGCCGGGATTTGGGGTTGGCATATGTATGAGAAGGACACAGAATGTAGAAACCGATTTGGATTACAGATGATATATATATATTGATTGTACTAACTATGAGTTGAATATGTGTGAATGGTCCTTCAATTTTAAATTAAACTGCTTTTTCCGTTAGGGCCATTGCTAAAATTCAAAACGTCGAGACTGTAACAACATACTTCTTCATACTTCTTCGTCTTGCACCAGAATCGAACCAATTTCAATGGTGCGACATTTCCATCGCTGCCGTAAACATCTTTAATTGAGCTTGAGTTATTGAACGTCTCCCTCCAATTTGTTGAACGCAACTGTTGTTGGTTTCGATTCTTGGTGGCTGTCCAAAGAGCATTGAACGCGTATCAATTTTTCTTTGGATCAAGAGTTCTAGCGAATACTCGATGATATCGCTACAATGCAAACAAATCGAGTGTGATGTTAGTTTGGTCGTGCAATACACAAACGCACCATGTCAGCCATGCTCGTTCGAGCAGTTGAATTTGGCGCGCTATAGCGCATATAGCCTTTGCCATCCATATCTGTGTACGATTACATTGATATTAGTGTTGACAGCTAAATTCATTATATTCATTTAATAACTGTTAGATTTTAACTATTTACATTTTTAAATAATATTAGAGGTTCGAAGTATAGAATATTAGATCAACTTGCTTATTAACTTGTGACTGCTCTGACGTCGTGAGTTCGGAATGTTTCCTTTTCCATTCACCCAACGTAGAAATCTTCCTGTCGTCTTAAAAGGGGTGCTTCTGACTGTTTGCAGTTTTGTTTTTGCTTCACGACGCAGAACAGTATGCTGCCAAACCTGGGCGCATTTTTTAACGGAACTGATACTTGGCTGAAAATTCTGATCACAGGAAAGGTATACGCCCCGCTTATCCCATTGGAATGTAAGATACTGTCCATTTTTTGTTCTTGGAAGCTTTGTGCAATGTTTTTCCAAACAATTGGGGACACTTTCTTCCCAGGTTTCGTGCATGCTTTATCAAGGTTCTCTTCCTTCCTCAGCCTTTCTTTGTCGTTTATTGTTCGCATTCGTTGTTTCGTTGTGAAACGTATCACATCGTGTGAAGCAAAATGTTGTAAATTGACCAATATTAACAGTCAATAACCAACTTACGACCAGTTGATCAAGAGATCGTTTTCAGAATCTGGCTCGTTCACGTGCTGGAATATAGCAATACTTCAGTGGACAATAACGGGGCTGAGGTAACCTTTATCGTAATTTATTGAAATCGAAGGCCGAGGCTTCTAGCGAAGTATAAGGAACCGTCTCCGTTTGTGTAACTGGCGTTTTTTGTATTTGGTTTCACCGGAATTGTTGGTTGAGGTGTAGTTGTTGTTGACGTGACCGGTTGAGGGAAGAATACCACTAGAGCGTATACACAACATATGTTTCACCACAACCGTTCATCAGGCCGTTCGTCCACCTCTTGTTAGAAATGATTTTATTTCTGTGCGAGGCTTGGAATCGTTACAACTATTCTAATTATTGTCAGAAAGGTCTTAATTTCAATAGTTCTTTTTCAAAGTTCTTTTCCTTCTTCAGCCTTTCTTTGTCGTTTACTGTTCGTATTCGTTCTTTCGGCTTGCTTCAATTTTTTGTATAGTTCTGTAATAAAAAAACCTTACGTACCTTATCTGGCTCATCATCTAAATCCAAAATGTTTAATGTTAAGTTTTTAAAAAGTTCATCCACATTCGATTGCCATATCAACTAAGTGGCAGAATAAAGTCTTCCACCATTTATAACACTTTTGGGATACATTATGACATACAAACATCTCATCTGACCTACATGCAGTATCTATACTGCATTCCATGTTTATAAGATAAAATATAGGCGGGTAAACGTCAAATTCCGTCATGATGACAAGAAATGGAATGAGCAACTTTTTTGTAATAGCTTGTTTCCATAATCTTTAAAAATTCTATCTTTAAAATTTTTATATTCATTATTTATAAAACTAAATTAAACATCGTTCCAAATTTCTTTATGATCTCTATAACCACCTCCTAATGATAAAAATCCTTTTTGACATTTTGCTACTATATAATATTGCTCGTTTAATTTTATTTTAATACGAAAAAAGTAGATCTTTTGTTCCAACATTTATTGGATGAAAGCAGTTGTGTATTAACATGGATGCTCTTCACTATGTATTCTTTCGTGCCTCTTCAAGTTAGATTTCGTAAAAATGTCTCGCAATGTTTGAAGGCATTGATATGGCCGTATACGTTTGTCCCTCTAAGGTACAGGACCATATCGAGACTTTTTTGCACATCGTTACTTAGATTAATTTGACATCATGATTATATATGTGCCGAGTAAAGAACTCATGCAATAAAATTTATTATCAATCCGGCAAATTTTCACAAAGGCTACATAAAAAATATTGAACTAACTGACATAACAGATGATCATGAAATTTAACGAATTCAAAAATCTGGGTCTACATGGGTATGATTCCATATATTTTTTGATCAAGAGGGAAAATTTGATGGTGCCTGGTGCTAACACGCCGTTGCCCAATAGCAACAAAATCTATTATGTTCTCTGGATCAAGCACTTGCGACTTGACATGTATAATTATGGCATATATTTAAAAATAATTTACACGCAAAACAAACAACATTTGAATATGATTTCTATTAGATATATTCATATGCTTATGCCATTATTTAAAACAGCACAAATATTTCCTGGACAGCTCAATAAAACGTGACCAGTATAAAAAAGATCGACAATTCTATTATAGTCGGTAGAATTCATCAAGCAGTTTCAGCTTAGCAATTATCGCAGTGCCATATTTCTTCCCGATCATTTATTTTCATCCGCACGCACAGCCTAGAATAGAATTGTTATTTATTATTAATTGTGATTGTTTGTTATTATTTTTGATATTATTATTATTTATTATTATTATTATGAAGATTTTATGCAGATGAAACCATTTCTTGTACGAGTTTGCATTCGACCCATGAAGCTTTTTTCCCCTTCCTGTTGGGTGGCAACTCACGATTACATAATAAGATTAATGGACCGTAAAATGTTTAAGTAATCGTGTTTTACTCTACTGGTTGTCACACAATATGCGTGTATGTATTAGCCCACCTTCAAAATATGAGAATGACGATTACACAGTTTTCTCGATTACATGTTTGTCAGGTTCCATCGGGTGTAACGAGTATATGGTTTAATCTGCGGGACTTATAGACAATATCTTGTGATCCATCAATTTTGCATGTTGAGTTGCCCCATGTCAATCTAACAATTCCTGAATTGATTGCCCGGGGCAACGGCAACGACTTTTTGACGATAACGACGCACGGTGAAGGTTCACCACTTCCCAAAGGCAAGAATGATCGTGCTTTCCTAGAATAAAATATCAAATAATTACTTATACATACTTAATTATGATCGCCAATTACAGACATATGCGACCAGACAATCCGCGAGACCCGAAAAATTCCTAAAGTTTTCCGATCTCTCAGTCCGAAAGTCTCATTTCAGTAACAGATAATCTACCTAAAAGCTAGAAACGAATTCCTATACGACCTTGTAGGTTCTATTCCCACCGTGGCCGGGCATATTTTTCAAGCACGCCCGTTGTGGATATACACTGAGAGTAACATCACAAACATATCAAAACTCTTCTGGGGTTTGGTTTTCACTGAGTTTTGGATTTAGCGCATGTTCTCTCCATTCGAGGTCCAAACTTTGGTTTGCTGTTCGAGTACCGCTTGAAGAATGTTGGTTTGTTGTTCCGGTACCGCTCGAGCGATGCTGGTTTGATGTTCGAGTACTGCTCAAGGGATGCTGGTTTGCTGTTCGAGTACTGCTCGAGGGATGCTGGTTTGCTGTTCGAGCAGCGCTGGAAGAATGTTGGTTTGCTGTTCAGGTACCACTCTAGGGATGTTGCTTTGCTGTTCGAACAGCGCTGGAGGAATGTTGGTTTGCTGTTCGAGCAGCGCTGGAAGAATGTTGGTTTGCTGTTCGTTTTGAGAGAACAAGATCTCAAATTCATTTACTATTTTTCTGTACTTTTCGGAGGCGAAGGTGTAACCTCAGCTTTATAAGTTCTTGTTTTTGTTTGAGTCTGTATTGTTTGTGCCGTGCAGCATAACGCTTTTTTTTATTCATTTTTTGTTTGCTTTGTTTTTGCCAGTGTTTTTGCTTATTAGTACGTTGTGCCTACTGTAGAACTCTGTTTCCTATGTTTAAAGAAAAAAATAAACGATGAACAATTTACGAGAACGACCTGCGCCACTCTACAATACATACAACATGTGTAGAAAACCTCCAAATTGTACTCTCATTGCTATCCTTTGAACCCACGCTGGAGACAACCTACCCGGTGCGGTTGTCTTTGGCTTAAACTATAAACATTTATGTTAGATAACATACAAACAGTTAAAACTATATCTTTCCTAGTAAAGACATTATATTCTTTCAGAGTTTAAAAATAAAACTCGTCAAAACTTCTATCTTCGCTAATGTATTCACTTCGTCCGCACATCCCTTCTCCTTAACGCAACAATAAATGAACACACAATGCGAAACATTTCAAATATATACTTAAAATCATAACGTTACAAAAAATAATTTAAATGTTTACAACACAAGCGTATTTTAGAAGTTTGCTAAACAAGATAGTTCCGTTGCTCAAATACATTATAAAATAGTATCTGTTGAGATACATACAGTATACTAACACTAGCGCTCTGCCCAAGAGGGAACAACTCAATTTAGGAAGGTGACTGCAGGACGCTCCCCCTGTTGTCGGTTTCGCGCCACCCTTCTGACGTACTGCTTACGACATCCATAAAAGCAAATAATAATAAAAAACAATCCAGCTGAGGGCCCTATGGTGACCGATAATAGAAATCCTATGTCTGACTTTCCCGATGTCTGCATGTATAGTGGGATCAAAGTTGGGGTACGGGTTGGAGTAGGGAGTATCTTGTAAAATGAATAAATGTTGTTTTGAAGCTGCTTCGTTAAAGAAGGCAGTTTTATTCGTGCAACGTTGGTGTGGACAACAAACCTTATCGTTAAAAAATGCTTCCTTCCACGTCCTTAGAGTCGCCAGTTTAATTTACAAGTTTCACGCCGCTTTTTTATATCTGTTTATATTCAAGATTATGTAGAAATTTACATGCTGACCTGACGCCGGCGCCATTTTTTTCACAAGATTCCGCAGGCCCTCGCCAGATCGTGACCTTCCCATGACGCAACGAGGGCCTGCGGAGGAGGCAGGGTCCCGGGTGCGGTTGAGCACAAAAATCTTTGTCTTCTGGATTGTTCGAGACTGAGTATTTCCATCTTTCCCCGAAGCAAGAAGAAACTGGGTTAAATTCTTTGATTTAAAGGGAAACAACATCACGAGTGTAATCATGATAGATTTTCCTAATATCAAACACGTAGATCTTCAGTATAATCCTTTTAAATGTACCAAAGCCATTACATGCAAGCGTATACATATTAAGCGACTGTCCGCACTCAAACAACACGGTCACTGCAACGGTTGTGTATCACAGTTCCACCAGCGTATTAAGTCCAGCAGCATCCCAAGCCTCTCAGATAAAAGCCGTCATATCTTCTTCCGCAAACGTTCCAACCCCTAATCCAACAAAAACCGGCAAGAACCACATATTAATATTGGCTGTTCTACACTCGTTGGCGTCATAGCATTTGGCATTGTTTCTTTTTACTTTGTTCAAAGGAGAAGACGCCCTTCCAACGTTCCTGACCATTTCCTAATGAGCAGTGTTGGTAACTATTCGGATTCTCTCTCCGATTCTCTTGACGATGACGTGCTTTATTTACGAGAGAGCACATTTTAACGTAAAACTATAAACGACAATATTTTTCCAGCTCGTTTTTTAAATAGTACTTAAAAGTTTTGCACATTAACCACAAAAAACGGTTCTGTCGAAAGTCTATGCCTCAACCCAATCTCTTTCCGTTGTCAGCAACTGATCAACAGTTTTCAACCACAAGCCTCTACAATCCAAAAGATTCGCGATACGTCTTTCAACACAACCCTCTGCGCTTAAATGCGCGAGTAACGATAAAATTAATGCCAAAGAAAACATTTTTCAAAATTATTTTATCTTAGCTTAGCTCATATTACTTTTGAAGTTTGTCTGTTAAGTTCAGTGTTTGCTGCTTTATACAATTGATATTTAATAGCTTAATTAATGTAATGGAACGGTAATTTTCCTGTAACCACATTAATAATTTGAAAGCTGTGCAATAAAGTGTGAAAACAGCCGAGTGTGTTAAAAAACAATGTGCATCTCATTACACAGCGCTCCGTGATGCTCAAACAAATATTTGACGTGTTGGGATAATGTTCTCATGTCAATACCATTTTCTCGAAACACGTCTAGTATCGGCTCCATTGCAATCGTAAATGAACACACAGTATAAAACGTTTCAAATATATATTCATAAAAAACTTATGATAATACAAAGTTTTTAATTATACGTTAAATGTTAAATTATACACCTTATCCTGAAATACAACTTTCAAATGTTTGTATTTTGAGTGCTTTTTCCAGTTCACGAACAAAATTGTCAATTTTTAACCGTGAAAGATGGAAGCTAGGTCATCCTTTGAAACTTGCAAGATTAGGTCATTTTCTAGCAAGAAGATGCATGCATCAGTTGAATTAAATTGAAAGAAAGACAGCGTGTCTTTGGCTCTGTCTTCCGCGTGTCTTTGGCTCTGTCTTCCGCGTTATCACTTCATTCCAAAGGCCTGCACATGAGAATGTACAAATCTGCCCCTTCGCCACCAGTCAAATAGTCTGTCCCACCAAAAGCAATCAAAGTGTCATTCCCATCCGCACCGTAAAGCTTGTTATTTGCATTTGATCCAGTCAAACGGTCGTTATAAATTGTGCCAAATACATTTTCAACGCTTTTGTATCGGTCTCCTTCCGCATCAGATTTTTTACCAAAACCAAATTTGAGGTCGATGTTGACTCCTTTGCTGATGGATCCCCGTCATCTTTGAAGATCATGGTGTCAGATCCAGAACGGCCATCAATGACATCCATTTCATTCCCTCCGTAAATGGAGTCATCGCCGTTGCCACCGTTAATAACGTCATTTTCCAGACCACCGGACAGGATGTCATTGCTGGGACCACCAATGACATTGTCATCACCTTCTTTTCCATCAGTGGATTATCCAGTTGCTCCTCCACGCAGATAATCAGAGTTTGTCCCACCTTCAATAAATTTTGTGGTCACCACAAAATTTATTGAAGGTGGGACAAACTCTGATTGACTCACCTGAAATGTTGTTTTTCGATTAAATTGACCCTTTGAAAGAGAGCCGTAGTGGCACGTATGGTGTTGAAGAACGATCGGAAGTAAGGTCGAATTGAAACATTTCCATATTTTAAAGTTGACATAACTTTAAAGTATGGAAATGTTTCAATTCGGCAAAAAGTGACGTTGTCAGCTGTTTTTACAACAATGTGTTGAGAATCTTCTCTAAAAGTATAGTTCTCCAGTTTTACAGTCAGTGACTTGGTTTTTTTTATGGATGCCAAATAAACATTGTATTTGTTGTCAAAGAGAATCTGAATGTCTTCAAAAATTAACCCCAGTTGCAAAGAGTCTTAAATTGTGTCTTGCGCAAAGTTGTTTTTACGGAAGACCATGTCTGAAGCTATGTTTTTGCTTTCTTGAAATGTTCTGGACCCTCCACGGATTTCATTCGTTTCTAAAAACTATACTGGTCGCGGACTGGTAATAATGCAGCAAACCGTCCAGACAGGGGAACCCTTCACTACGTTCGTTGGCAACGTCTAAATACCCGGTTTTGCAATAGTCTTTAACATCACTATTCCCATACCCACTGAAGGCACTGCAGGGCCCTGGTTCAAGGTAGTTTGTTCAGACCATTTCCAAAAATTCTGTAACTGCAGCTGCTCGAGTTCAGCTTGAATCTAGCCACTTTTTCCCACGGATTCTTGCTGAGATCGTATGTGAATGTTCACATACGATCTCAGCAAGAATCCGTGGGAAAAAGCAAACCACACTCTCTGATTATTCAGAACAAAATTCGCCTGGATATTTTGTCACTTCTGTTAGTTCCAGTTTGCCATTTTTTTCGTTTATCAGCAAAGTTATTCCGTCGGATGTTCGAATGCCCAAATGTTGGTTGGCGCTCGAATTGAACCAGCGTTCATTTTCTACATTTGTTCGACCCAGAGCTGAACGAATGACTTGCTCTTCATCGAGGAAACATTCACAAATTTGAAAGCAACAAAATGCTTTCAAATTTGTGAATGTTTCCTCGATGTAGAGCAAGTCAGACTTGCACCTATGTTGTTAAAAGAACTTGCAAAAGTATCTTTTGCAAGTTCTTTTAACAACATAGGTGTCACTTGCTTTGCCTCCGCGCAGACGATCAAATCCTCCGCTGCAGCTGAGAAAATTTGACTGGACATTGCCAATGATAAGATCATCAAATGGTGAATCCGACACTGTCGTTATGGCTTTAAATCCGGTCGGTTTTTTGCAGTTTATTGTTTTTCTTTTGTGTGATAAATCCACGCAGACACTTCTGTTTGCTGCATTGAAATCCAACATCTGTGGCACTTTGAAAAATCGTCCAATTCGATCTTCGGCAACCATGAACATAACGTGGTCATTGGAGGAAAAAAGTATGTGTCGGGTTTTTTCTGCCACCACATAATTGTTTTATTTTAAAGCAAATTTCAGAATCATCGTCAAAAATACTGATGTCGTCTCCATCTCTTTTAACCTTCAAAAACAACAATATCAGTAAAATTGTCATCAGCAAAATTGTCAATGATGTCACAGCCCTCATGCTTTTTCACACATACGTGTCTTCTTCATCCCCTCCAAAAAGGTAATCTTCTGCTCCACCTCCATCTAAAACATTGTTTTTTATCATTTCCAAAATTGTTGTCTGTGTAGTTGGACCCAGAAACCTGTTTCACCGAACTGAGCAATAATCTGGAAAAGTTCTTTTAACAACGTAGGTGTCACTTGCTTTGCCTCCGCGCAGACGATCAAATCCTCCGCTGCAGCTGAGAAAATTTGACTGGACATTGTCAATGATAAGATCATCAAATGGTGAATCCGACACTGTCGTTATGGCTTTAAATCCGGTCGGTTTTTTGCAGTTTATTGTTTTTCTTTTGTGTGATAAATCCACGCAGACACTTCTGTTTGCTGCATTGAAATCCAACATCTGTGGCACTTTGAAAAATCGTCCAATTCGATCTTCGGCAACCATGAACATAACGTGGTCATTGGAGGAAAAAAGTATGTGTCGGGTTTTTTCTGCCACCACATAATTGTTTTATTTTAAAGCAAATTTCAAAATCATCGTCAAAAATACTGATGTCGTCTCCATCTCTTTTAACCTTCAAAAACAACAATATCAGTAAAATTGTCATCAGCAAAATTGTCAATGATGTCACAGCCCTCATGCTTTTTCACACATACGTGTCTTCTTCATCCCCTCCAAAAAGGTAATCTTCTGCTCCACCTCCATCTAAAACATTGTTTTTTATCATTTCCAAAATTGTTGTCTGTGTAGTTGGACCCAGAAACCTGTTTCACCGAACTGAGCAATAATCTGGAAAGCAAAACGTTCTGTGGCCAATTTTCCGACCTCAAATATAAAGCCACGGCAACACAGTTCACAGATGATTCAGAAAGTTTCATTGGGAGAAAGATCACTCCTTCTCTGGAAAGAAAAGAAAGATGACGATGATAATTTGCATTTCCACCAGAAAACCAATTCGTTATTCTTATGTTGTGGCTGAAACCATGAGTGACGTCCAGATCTTTATTTGTTTGACGGCATCTAATGCTGTTAAAATTGACATTTATGAATATCATGTCAAGTCTTTTCGCGTGTGAGCACATCCTAAAGAAAGTTTCAGAAAGTTTCATTGGGAGAAAGATCACTCCTTCTCTCGAACGAAAAGAAAGATGAGGATGATAATTTGCATTTCCACCAGAAAACCAATTCTTTATTCTTATGTTGTGGCTGAAACCATGAGTGACGTCCAGATCTTTATTTGTTTGACGGCATCTAATGCTGTTAAAATTGACATTTATGAATATCATGTCAAGTCTTTTCGCGTGTGAGCACATCCTAAAGAAAGTTTCAGAAAGTTTCATTGGGAGAAAGATCACTCCTTCTCTCGAACGAAAAGAAAGATGAGGATGATAATTTGCATTTCCACCAGAAAACCAATTCTTTATTCTTATGTTGTGGCTGAAACCATGAGTGACGTCCAGATCTTTATTTGTTTGACGGCATCTAATGCTGTTAAAATTGACATTTATGAATATCATGTCAAGTCTTTCCGCGTGTGAGCACATCCTAAAATAACCAGAAATGGGCATCACAAGACAGCTGCGTGCGATCGTGGTCTTTCATGCGATTGTGTTGCTTTTGATTAATAATTTATAATAGTTTACCGAGGTGCTCCAGTTAACCCCCTCAAAAAATGGTTGCATAGTATCGAGCTAATAAATACAGAAATTATTCTTTTATTTTAACTGTACCTTTGATCCTGGTTTCCTTCCTCTTTTTGGTCAGAAAGTCAGTCTGATAATTAAAAAAAAAGCAAACTCATCATTCCAACTTTTAGATCACCAACTGGTCCAACTCAATCGCAAGGTATTGTGTTAATGGTACGGGATGTATAAAATCAAAAACCAAAGAGGCAAAATTACCTTACGACTATATTTCTTCCTGGCCAACGCAACTTAGTCTGTCAAAAAAGACGGTTAATTATGTACTGTCTTTACGGTTGTTGGGGCTAGCGTGTCTAAATAAAGTTTGTATGTTGGTAGATTAAAGTTTGTGCAATTAAAAGATTAACAAAAACTTACAATGAGTGGAACGATTTTATTTCTAGTTTTTGTTTTTCTGTCCCGAGTGTGAACGTTCACGCAACCTAAAGGAAAATAAATTCTCACATTAATATATACGCATGATGTATGTCTCACTACTACTGTTCGAAATACTACCGTTACTAGGTTTTTGTTCTAATGTATTAGCCTCACCGTCAGTTTGTTCCTTAGATTCGATTTGTTGAGCTTGGTACTTGCTCTGTTCGTCACGATGTCCTTCTAGAAGCATTGATTTTAAGTTAAATGTAGGATCCAACCTCCGCGAATTCACAGGTTTCTGACATTGCTCTAAGCCTGGTGTGAAATTGATCTAATGTCTCTTTGTGTTCTTGAGTTGTTTGTCGAAAACGATAAACTTGGTGCCGCCGATTCTTTTGAGGGTCAGCTTATGAGTTCCGCTATCGATAAGTGACTGTTTGTTTTCAATTCAAATGTGCCACGTGACCAAAAACTGCATAAACTTACATAAATTATGAAAAAAATGTAGCAATTATATTTTAATTTAGCCTTATCCTCAATTTCCAATGCATTATATTTACGAAAAGTTAGCTTAGGTTATATGGCATATGTGGGCCAAGTTTCATAATAATTGACCAACAGGAAATTTTTTTTTAAAATTCACCCTTTAGAAATAGCAGAATCTTGCCTTAGATTCCATTGGCATGTGTCTGATCTTGTAACCAGAGCCTTGTATAGATACATATTTACATACTGGTAGTTGTGGCCTTTTAGAATTTAACCTGCCCCACTCATTTTTTCGAGTGGGATCCTGCCATCATTTGTCGAAATGAAGGTTCTAAGCAACTCGGCAACTCAACTTGGAAATTCGACCCCCATGAAAAACAAAAAATGTGGACGACAATATAATTTTTAAAGCAGCTGACACTTTATGTTCTGCCAGTTCAAGGGATAATTTTCCAATTGATTGGGTAAAAGAAACAGATTGAACAGGCACACAAAGGTTTTTGAATGACGCTGCTTGAAATGCAACTTCGCATCATATAACAAATTCACCCGCAACACACTTCTTTCAATTTTTAATGATAAAGCAAATAATTACATTGAACATACAGGAATGTAACACAAATAGTACAGAAAATTTTATTAGAAAATGAAATGTATGTTAAACTTTGAACTGTAATCATAATGGGAAAATATGATACAAATTTCATTCGTTTGACAAATTTGATATTGTACATGATCGTGAGCATACTACCTAAACAAGCAAAAGCAGAAATACTCGTAATCATATCTTCTTACCAGTATAATACCTATTATGCCATACCTCAAAACAATCAAACCCAGTACCTTCATGCATATGTCTATTATTGCACTGCGGAGCACTACAATAAGTATAGACCTGCCTCTGCCCTAAACGTTTCTCATAACAAACTACACAATGCTTCCTTTTCTCAGCCGTTTTAGGAATATGGACAATGCAAAACTGATCATGGCGAGGAGCAGTCGCGCTGTCTCGTTCACAGGAGGTACATCATACTCCTCTAACCCAGTAATCTGTTTAAATAACTCCTCCCTAAAATCAACTATATTATAAGTAGACCTGCGATACAAATCTGGATTGTCCGGATCACTAGCACGATGCTGCAAGAAAACAGTTTACAACTGCCATATCTACTAAGTGGTAGAATAAAGTCTTCCACCATCTATAACACTTACAGGATACATTATGACATGCAAGCATCTGATCTGATCTATCTAGTGCATTCATGTACTGATTATATATATATAGAATGCATAGGGCTGGACTAATTCTACCTTGTCATACACACCTCTCGTCTTTGTTCTTCTCGTCACAGGCGTTGTGTCATTCGCGGAATCAATTGATGTGAGCAAGGGAACATGCAAGCTTGTTGTCAACCTACCGGAGGGCTAACACATCTGATTCCCGTTCCCATCGCATGCTTCCTCGCTTCAACTTTTTTGCCCACACTTTCACATTCCTCATGGATTTGGGGAAACCCTCCCTGTTAGTTCTACATGTGCCTGATGATTGGGTCGCATGCAAAAACAGATCTTGGACTAACTTAGGAGATGCAAAAAAAATATCAAAAAATACATGATACCCTTGCCCCAAATATGGATCCACCAACTTCATCACCACATCATAACCAAGACCATTACCCGATGGTTCTTCATGCTCCGACTTACCTATATATACATTGAAATCGATAGTATACCCATTCGAACTATCTGCCAATACACGTAGCTTTATCCCTCACTTTGTAGGCTCATTTTTTATGTATTGCTTAATGCCCGATCTATGTTTTGACTTGATCATACGCTCATCCACAGCAATATTCTGGCTCGGTTGGTATGACATACGGCATCGCTCTTTGAATGCCGCAAGAAATTCCTCGACCTTGCGCAATTCATCGCCAGGCTGCTCGACGGCGGGATCTACCACATGCAAGAATGCCATAAGGGCTTTATAACGGGTACGGGAAAGTATCTTCCTTGTCCAGAGACCCCGATAAAGGGTCTTTGTGCTCCAATACTTTTCAACGGCTGAGTCCACACGTACCAGATCAAAATAAATCAAAAGAGCAATCAAAGGATTTATTTCGTCATCAGTCATTTCTTTCCAAGCCCTCTCCAAAGTGGTGTATGTAGTATACCCCCAGATACAAGATTGTGTGTAGCTGTTGGTGTGGGCAACAACTGATCTTGTAATCTCGGAGGTGAAGAAGAGACGAAAAAACTCTAACTCAGTTGTCATACCTCCCCGCAAGACTTGCCTACCAAAATGAATTCCCTGCGAACGGTTTGGTTGAAAGGGAGGAAGGTCGTTCCTAGTGTCCGCATCATCATCATACGACTTACTACTAGTATTGGGAGTCCCACCAGCCTTGGCCCTTCCCCTTCCAGCCCTGGGCCTTCCCCTTCTGGCCCTGCCCCTCCTACCTTTTCCCCTATTGCCAGAAGTACCGCTAACTGGGGATCGTACCCTTCCACCCACATCCTCCCCCGTATCACTTCTTCATCACTAAAAAAAGTCAATAATATATATATTAGCTTATTTTTCACCCTGCTCGGTTTCCTTTGTTCTTTTCGGGGAATATATTCAATATTCCCCTCTAATCAATTTCCGTTTAATAATCCCCTCTAATATTCACCTGCAATGTCTGCAGCACAAAAAATGAGAAAAAGCAACATAACGAAGGCAATATGGCATTAAGAATTATTTCTATTCTGACTCATTAACGCGACCTCGCAATGTGAAAAATAAGTACATTATTTTCGTTACAGTTGCTACGAGCTTGTTGTCATCGACGTATTAACAACTTGTTACGTGCAGACGATATCAGACTTGTTGGAACAACTTGTTACGAGTCAGTTAGCTAGCTTATCAACCTTGTTACAAGATGATAACAACTTGTTCCAGACTGAGAACAAGCAGTGCGAACAGCCGAACACAATGTGTTGACAAGCTGTGAGATGTTTACGCGAGTAGGACAACAATGGTGCTTCCTGTCACGATGCAATGGACCGTTTGCATTATAGACTAAATTTTGATCTAAACAAGTCTAGACAAAAATTTCATCACTTGAATCTGAGTTAAAGAATAAACGCAAGCAGGCTAGAGGAAGGATAGCTCGCGCAATAAAGAGATTAGACAACGCAATAACAAAAGAGGACAAAAACTTTAGACGTTTCGAGAAAGAGATCGAGCAATTGCGTAAAGATTTCGACATTGCGCGCGAAGTTCACTGCCAAATGTACGATTTTGGCGAAGCAGATTTTGAAAATCTAGACAAATGGGAAGAAGATTTGACAAACGACGTTGATGGTGTCGAGGAGAAAGTCGACAATGACAAGTAGCTCTTCAGCGTCGTTCACTTCATTTGGAAGAATCGTTTTACCAAGTTGATCTCCACTTTCATCTTCGTTCACATGATCCAGTAAAATTGGTATATCAAATTGTTCTCCACTTTCATCCATCTTCGTCACCTGACCGGATACAATTGGTATACCAATTTGTTCCTCATTTTCATCTTCATTAACCTTATTTTGGTAAAATCGATATACCAAATTCTTCTCCATATTCATCTCCGTACCAAACCAATAATTTTTCACCACCTGCTACTATTTCTTTAAACACACGGTAAAAAATATCACCATGATATTGATAGGCGACAAGGTTTTGTAATCGGTGATATTTCACGGTTTTATTTGGCGAGTCCGAAGTTTGCCGGCGAATTACGATCGCGTCACGGCGAACGTGCAATTCCGAAAATGCCCATGAAAGTTGTTGTTCTTGCGAAATTTAGGATAAAACGAGATTTCGATACAAGGATTCTAATGGTGGTATTGCCATCTCGATAGCTTTCAATCGAGCGAAGATATGGCCTGCCAAAGTTGAAGACATGTTTGTTGTGATCAACATCCGGTATGTTTTTAAAAAAATACATATCTTAAGGATTTAAAACAGGATAAATCGCTTTGGTTGCATCGTAAACAAATAAAATTAGGTCTCATAAGAGATTTTGAAACAGCGGATCTAGCAGTAGTATTTTCATCTACGTAGCATGCACCGAACCGAATATATTGATCTGCAAAGTCGCATTGCACTGGATGTCGAGAAAGAGTTTTAAGAAGAAAGCTATTAAGACAAACTCAACTGTGTAGGAGACTTTATTTAAGTAGTGAATCGTTACAACTTTTGTAATTATCTATACTATTGTGTTAATTTCAATCGTTCTGTTTCCAAGTTCATTTCAACCTTGAACTGGCTTTCTCTTTTCGTGATCTGTTCGTTTCTTCGTTCGTCCTAGTTTGTCTGAGCTTCAGTAGCTTTTCATCAATTGAGCTTTACTAAGTCTACGTTCACTGACGAATTTCGGTTGTCCACACCCTTTTATACTAACGGTTGAGGGGATCTTTGTACACGTGCTCTAGCAAGTGGTCGGATTTGTATCAGCCAATGAACGTTGAGTTATAAAAGTGTGGTATGGCGTTGCTAGCTCGTTCCAGCTCTCACATTCTGTTTATTTAAGGCGCTGGCGCACCGGTCGAGTCGGTTCGCTGTTCAATCGATCAATATTAAAATGTGTTCACAACTTAAAATACTTATCAAAATCTCATAGTAAAATCTTCAAACTATACCTATGTGAACCTTACTTTACCTGATAAACTAAATTCACTTACAATTTTATTGAACCAAGATTTTGATGACGTAATGTTATAATTACTCAACCGCGCGAAATATACCGTAGAATGATTGACAGAAACGCTCTAAGCATGCACGTTTTCATGTCAGAGAAGAACCACCCTTGGACTTTGAATTATGTAAACACAACAGCCCACAATGCAAGGCTTTCGTCCAACTTTGACAGTTTGACAAATCATTTATCTTGCCTAATGGACAGATAATTGACACTCTTACACAAGTCCGAAATGATTTATATACTTTATGTGCATTTTACAGCAAAAATGCTCATTATCTCTCCATTTGACGTAACTAGTATCTATAATTACCTGGGGGTGCAAACTGAACTATTTTTATACTATTTAGATACACTTTCGTAACGATATGTATTCTTTAGTGGCCCTCCATGGTACAGGACCATATCGAGAGTGTTTTTGCACATCGTTACTTTTTAATTTGATTTGACATCATGATTATATATACCGAGTAAAAAGCGCAATAAAATTTATTATCAATCTGGGAATTTTTCACAAATATAGGCTACATCAAAAATATCGAAATAACTGACATAATAGATGAAATTTAAAGAATTCAAAAATCCGGGTCTACATGGGTATGATTCAATATATTTTTTGATCAAGTGGGAAAATTTGATGGTCCCTGTCGTTCTATAATTATGGCATATTTAAAAATAATTTACACGCCAAACAAGAAACAACATTTGAATATGATTTCATTTCTTTTATATTTACAAGCTTATATGCTGTTTATATTTAAAACAGCACATATATTTGCATAAACTTGGACAGTTCAAGTTATAGTCTGTAGAATTCATCAAGCAGTTTCAGCTTAGCAATCATCGCGCTGACATGCAAGTGAACGGCACACCTATATTCTTAACCCGGGTATATATGCACGGGGAGAAAAGTGCGGAAGAAAAGTAGCGACAATCCGGCCAAGCCAGCATCATTTCGCGAGTGTTGAATATGTCAATTTAATCTGACTTATAATTAATAAAACAATATGAATACCGCGTGTAAGCATCACAGGAAAGAACCGTAGAAAATATACAATTCAAAAGTTTATAGAATTCACAAGTTTTTAGCCAGATAAACCAACATATCGACCTTTTGCGGTTTTAGTAGCCTAATGACCGTTTGGCTTTAACTATGTTGCTACCAACACAAAAACTAAAAGTCGTTCGGACGAGGACCTTGATCCACAAATACACAAGTATTTGCGTGCAAGTTTTGCCAGGGGAGGATATCCAACAGCCTGCATGCATGCTCCACCATTGAAGTGGGTCAGCATCTAGGAGGGTGTTGCGACAATTTCGTACACGTATTCAGCCATACGTATAACAACGTTTTTTTCTTGTTCGTACATTGGCTTTCTCTTGGAATGTCGTGCACTTGTGTTTTTTAACAAAGTTTAGGATTTTAACTACACTAAATAACTTGATTACTTTGTCTGGCGGTAGGGGGTAGCACACCATATATAACCACAATATGGAGGCTCTTTCATCACCGACCGCAATTAACACGTAATGTTCTGCTATAGATTGTGAGTGTTTTTGTGTGAGTGCATGTCGTGAATTATTCCTTTTTTCCTCTTTTTTGCTGTCAACATCGCCTATATATTCTAACTCTTTAAACTCAGCATGTTTAAGATAAAATATAGGTGGGTAAATGTTACGCTCCCTCACAATGACAAGAAATGGATTGAGCAACTTTTTTATTTCACCCCTTTTATACTGTGCTTTCTTCACAAAATAGAAAGACACTGACCTCTTCCCGTACGGGTTCACGAAAGTGGTGATAAATTTCCGAGCTGGTAAGCAGCTAGAGTTGTTCAACACATTAATTTTAAGAGCAAACAATCCATAGTCTGGCTGCTCTAGTTCCAACGAATTCTTCAAGACTTGCTACAAATACCGTAGCCTATTTCCATAACCTTAGCAGAAATTCTGTCTTTAAAGTTTTTATATTCATTATTTTTAAAATTAAAATAAACAATGTTCCAAATTTCTTTATGATCTCTATAACCACTTCCTAATGATAAAAATCCATTTTTTCACATTTTGTTACAATATAATATTCCTCTTTTAATTTTATTTTAGTAATAAAAAATGGAACTTCTGTTCCAACATTTATTGGATGCAAAGCAGTTATGTATTAATATGGATGCTCTGCACTATACGTATTCTTTCGTGTCTCTCCAAGTTAGGTTTCGTGAAAATGTCTCGCAATGTTGTAAGGCATTGATATGGCCGTTCTCCACTATATGTATTCTTTCATGGCCCTCCAAATTACTGTACCATGTAAAAAATATCGAAATAACTAACATATATAACAGATGAAATTTGAAGAATTTAAAAATCTTGGTCTACATGCATGAGTTTGATTCATTATATTATATTTTGTGGATCGTTATCGTTGGGTTGTCTGTTGTCCCGGTTGTCTTTAGAGTGGTCCAACATGGATGTGAAAGTGTCATTGTATATTTTTTGTACATCTCGGATGTGACAGTGTTTAAAGTGGGAACTCCCACAAAACAATCTATGCCAAAATAACACGATGTGGGTTTCACTCCATTGAAAAGGTCCCAGCATAAATAACAGGTCCTTTTCACAATGGTACAGGATAACAAACCAACGTGATACGCCGCAGTTCCTCAGCCTTTCTTTGTCGTTTATTGTTCGTATTCGTTGTTTCGTCTTGTTTCGTTGTGAGCTTCCTCACCTGAAACTTTTCATTCGTAATTTTTGCTTCATTGAGTCCACTGACGAATTTGGGTTGTGCACACCCTTTTATACTAACGGCTGAGGGGATCTTTGTACACGTGATCTGGCGAGTGGTGTGATTTGTATCCAGCCAATCAACGTTGAGTTATAGAAGTGTTGGTTGGCGTTGCTAGCTCGTTCCAGCTCTCACATTCTGTTTATTTAAGGCGTCGTCGCACTTGTCGAGTAGGTTTGCTGTTCAATCGATAAATGTTAAAATGTGTTCACAACTTAAAATACTTATCAAAATATCATAGTAAAATCTTCAAACTATACATATGTGAACCTTACTTTACCTACTAAACTAAATTTACTTACAATTTTATTAAACCAAGATTTTGATGACGTAATGTTATAATTACTCGAGCGCGCGAAATATACCGAAGAATGATTGACGGCAATACGCCTTAAGCATGCATACATTCAAGGTCAATGAAGAACCAACCTTGGACTTTGTATTGTAAACACAACAGCCCACCATCCAAGGCTTTCCTCCAACTTTGACAGTTTGACAAATCATTTATCTTGCCTAATGGACAGGTAATTGACATTTTTACGCAGGTCCGAAATGATATCTACTTTTTCCGCGTTTAACAGCAAAAGTGCTCATTATCTCTCCATTTCACGCAACTATTTATAATAACCTGGTGTGCAAACTGAACTATTTTTATACTTTTAGATACTTTCATAACAAATACATGCACAAAACACACAAATAAATAATTTGTATCATTATGCACGTGCACAATCAAAATATGATATAATTTCCCAAATAACAATTAACATTATACTCTTATATGAAAGTCAACATATATAATCGTTCAAACAGTATATTATAATTCGCGGTGCCATATTTCTTCCAGATCATTTACTTTCATCCGCAAGCACAGCCTATATATAAGAATATAATTATTATTTATTATTATTGTGATTATTGGTTATTATTATTTTTTGATATTATTATTATTTATTAGTATTATTGTTATTATTATTATTATTATGAGGATTTTATACAAATGAAACTATTTCTTTTACGAGTTGCATTGGACCCATGAAGCTTTTTTCCAGTCATGTTGGGTGGCCACTCGCGATTACATAATAAACAGAGATTAGTGGACC